GGTGTTTTTCTTGTTGACTTAACGGCCTACACCTACCGAATGCGTTTATAAAGAGGCTAGTATATCCTGTGAAAAATATCTAATAAAATCACCTGTATTTTTACACAAATTTCCCTCGGCTTAAAGTCTCATTGGATGTTTTCATTGCAGCGCGTACTGTTTAGCAGTGATTTTTAAAACGCAACCGTCAATGGTGCTTTTGTTTTAAAGGTTGATAACGGAAGTAGTTTGGTTCGCTTTGCTGTAGCTTTGTCGTTACTAGTTTCATGGTTGTGCAGCACGGGTCCAGCAGCTTCACGAACAAACAGGTAATGATGTGAAAAAGAACACTGTCACTGTCCACATGTTGTTCATTGGAGTCGTTGAAGAGGAGTGTGTGTGGGGTCATGCTGGCTCGCGACAGTTGAACCCGGATCCTAACTTAAATCCAACGTTGTTAGCTCGTTAGCTAGTTAGCTAGCCGACTGACGCTAGCGTTGATGTAGCGTTAGCTTTTAAGTTAAGTTTTTGTTATTTTTTTACGTTCGTCCGTACTTTTATTTAACGTGCATGTCGACCTTATAAATAGACATTTTGGTTTTAAACGAAATTGAGTTGTGAAAGGTGACATAAGTTACATTGGTTAGTTTAAACTGTATTCGTGTTACAGGTAGTGAAACTCGGGGTGCCATTTTCTATGATAAGACACACGGTTCAGTGGAGAATTAAAGCTGTAGTACCTGACTTTTATAAACATCTATATATTTTTGTCGTTCACTGAAACTTTCACTATATCCTGACAGATGACCTGTGAAACAATCAGGTCCTCTGGCTCCTCCTAGTGCTGCTAATGACATTTACAAGAAACCAACAACCAATCAGAGCACAGAATGATATATCTGCAGGCTTCCAATCCAAAGCATGTTTATCTTTCTCTCTGCTCTGATTGGTTGTTTACGTTCAGGTGTGGTGGATCCTCCAAATGCCACCAGGAGCACTAGCAGGAGCCAGAATATGTCTCATGTTCTACTGTCAGGACACAGTGGGAGTTAAAGCAACAATGAGGAAAAGTTAAATAATTCCACACTGGATCTGAAGACCTGTCTCAGGGATTTTGTTGCATTTCAGATGGATGAGAAACTACCAGAGGAGAACGGACAGACGCCGCCAGTGCGCAAGGAGGATGAAGAAGAGATGGAGGTTGCCACGACGACGCAACTAGAACCTCTCATCGTTGCCCCTGACGATGCATACAGATCATCAAATACAAATACACAGACCGATCCAGAGGACGCAGGAGACGTACACACAAACTCAGCAGCAGCAGCTACGCAGTCTCGAGACGGCGTGTGTGAGACAGAGGAGTGTGATGATGATGAAGATTCAGAGGATTCAGACAGGTATTCACACAACCATTTCATAAAGGCTTGTTTCTGATGGTGGTAAAGTGCTGGGCAGGAAGCAGAATGGAAACCAGTTACCGACTTTGACGCTCTTCCTCTCCTGTCCTCAGCGACAGCTCTTCCTCGTCCTCTTCATCAACATCTTCCTCCTCATCCTCCTCTCCCTCTGCCCCCGTGATCGGGGAAGATGACGACGATGAAGGTTTCAGCCAGCCGGCCCCCATCAAGACCAGAGATGAAGTCCTGCTCGAGGTCAGTCAGTGACTGGATGTTTGGAGGTTTGGATGAAGAGTGCTCGCGCTGCCTGTTACTGCACCATACAGAGTGCTTCCAGACGGTGATGTTTGAGGAGAGACAGCTCAAATGTTTTCTGCTTAGCCCCTATTGCTAATTCCATCCCAGGGTTCCCACACGTCCTGGAAAATCTGGAAATGTAGAAACTAGTTTTCCAGTCATGCAAACACCTGGAAATTGTGTACCTGTACAAGGGCACATCTACATGCATACAGCCTGTTATTATGATCACATTTACATCTATTGTCATGGTTGATAAGTGTTCATTGTACGTACAATAAACACTACTTTCTACCTCTTCTTTTAATAGTGTACTAGGTGAGAAGATGATTTTTCTGTAAAATAAAATCAACTCTACTTGATTTGTATAGTGAACACAACAACTGAGCAGTTTGGATTTATTTTGAGCTGATTATTTCCTGTCAATATTGCTCACACGTGGGTTTCCTGATTTCCTGTTTTAGGAAGTACAATTTTCTTCCTAGAAGTGAGCTAAATGCTGAAATATAGGCCTACTGCGTGTATTTTTGAAAATTTCCTTACGTCCCTTAAAATCAAGAAGGCCTAACAACCCCCTTTGAAGCTTTGGTGACCCTTAGTGGGGGTCCCGACCCCCAGGCTGGACCACTGTAGTAGAGAACAGAAGCTGCACACACTTGGTACAGACTCTTTGGCGCTTGGCAGTTGTTCATTTTGGAGCCTGGTTAAGAAATCTTTGACTGTTTTTTTTTTTTCTCTTCTGTTATTCAGTTGCCATGGCGGGAAAAAGTAGGAAAAGATGGCAGATGGAATATCCGGGCTGTTCACATTTTGTCAGTGCCATTGCCTATACAATGCCTGACTTTCAGTATCAATTCTGAAACAAGCCTTTTTAGTGCTGCTCTCTGAGGCACACAGTAGACCTTTTCCGAAGCAACGAAAAAAGAAAGTTGTCAAATGTTAAATGCTGTCTAAACACAAGCAGATGTACACAATACAAAATACCGTCCAAAATAAACCTCCAAAGGAAATCAACCTTCCCATTGTTAGAATCTAACATAATGTTTGTGTGCAGGAGCTGCCCGCAGTGGAGGAGGTGAGTGTGTCCTTACCAGAAGATGCAGAACTGCAACCTGTAGGAACGGTCTCCAGTATTATACAGCAGCTTGGTAAACACACACACACACACACACACACACGTTCAGTGTTTACTGTCTGATTTGGACAGAAGTGGAGAACAATATAAGTTCAGGCTTTTAACGCTCTTTCTGTCTGCAGTCGTCATCCAGTCTCTGAAAGACACGCCCCCTCTGAATGATGACAGCATCATCTTTCGATCTGATGGGTTGGCTGTGGGCAAGGTGGGTGGACCAGCAGAGGCCGTGTGTCTGCTCTGTGTAAAGAGGTGTTCCTGTCTGTGTGTGTCTTGTTGGTTTCCGTAATGTTGTTTTTGTGTTCCAGGTGTTTGAAGTGTTTGGCCCGGTGTCCAACCCGCTGTATATTTTGCGATTTAACTCTGCAGAGCAGATCAGCAGCAAGGGGCTGACAGAGGGACTGACTGTTTATTATGCACCAACCATTAAAGAGTACACAGAATACATCCTCACTCAACAGCTCAAACTGTAAGTACACACACACACACACACACACACACACTTGCACATTAAAGCTGGAGTGCGGGACTTTTCCATATAAATGAACGTCTGTTACATTCAAGCCCTCCTGTCTGAGACACAGTTTCTTTTTTCTTTACTTTTTAAGAAATTTGTGACAGAATAAAGCTGATCCTATAATAGTCAAAATCAATCCAGAACCGTTTCACTTTGGCAATAATTATACTCGATCAGCCATAACATTGTGATCACCTGGGCTCCCTGGTGGTCCCATACTAACGGACTGCTCTGCACTGTGTGTTCTGACACCTTTCTATCAGAACCAGCATTAAGTCATTTAAAATTGAGTCCTTTTTTTAGACAATCCAGTACACTCTTCAAGTACATTAAAGTAATTAAAATCAATCTAATGCACATGCTTGACAATTAGAGAGCTCTGCGTTGCATTAAGAAAACAAATGTGTGTATCAAAGCTGTTCCTTAAACTTTTTTTAATAGTTTTTTTTTTTAAGTATAAAATTGCAAACCCTCTGTGTGTGGTTGTGTCAGCTCTCAGTCTCTGCTCCGTGCATGAAAGCTGATCCGATCAGTTAAAAAAATAGCGATAGTTGAGAACTGATCCGGACATCCCTTGTAGCAAAATTAGGAACAAAGCAGGGTGAGACTTTTGTATGTTGCACCTGTCGCCAACATACAAAACATAGTTCAACGTTCAATACGCGTGATGTTTTTACATTGTTTAAGGTTTTTATACCAGACATAATGTAAAATGATTGTATTGGGTAAATGATGAGGTTTAGCGTATAGGCTACATGGAATAATGGTGTATGTAAATGGAGATATATGGGCACCGATACCAATCATAGGTCACATTGCTAAATTTGGCTGAATCAGCCAAATGATCCAGCTCAGTAAAAAGAGCTGCAATTCCCATCACTAGTGGTGACTTTCCCACACTAGAGCACCAGTAGTGCTGGATTTTAAACCAAAAAGGGCACACCTGCTCACCAGTAGAAGAAGCCCAGTCTGTCCAGAAAAGTCTGTCTTTAATAGTTCACCCAGATTTGGATTCTACTGGAGCCTGAGCGTACAAGTAGGGGGTCTATTTTTCAGATACGCTGATGCTGGAAATAGGACAGTGGCGCAAAGTGACATGGGGCAGAGCATCCAAGGGTGCCAGCACTGTTTCAGCAGCGACGTGTTTCAGCTTTTCCTCTCATTGCTAGGGAGACAAAGTCCTACACTGCAGCTTTAAAGGCAAATACACTCATTAGTTCTTTAGCTTGCTGTGTTGTAGTCACTTTTGGTATGTTTTCAACCTACTAACTAATGTAATGAAATGCTTCACCCTTCAGTTTAAAGGGATCTGACGCTTCCTGGAAGAACGACCAAGAACCACCAGCGGAGGTAAGCACACCCACAGAAGTGGAATCAGATCAAGTGCATCTGAAGAAAGTGATGGTTGTCACTGCAAATATTTTGAACTCACCTCTGTCTCCTCTCTCCAGGCTTTAGATTATAGTGATGACGAGAAAGAGCAGGAAGCTAAGAGGAAAGTGAAAAACTCCAAAAAGAAGAGGGACAGTAACAATGCAGGTACACACACACACACAAACAGGAGCTCCACATGTGTGTCTGAATGAAGCTAATGGTTGGAATGTGTTACAAGTCTAAAGGTGAAAGTAGAATAGAATATGACATCCACCCACCCATCTGTTTTTTGTTTTTTTCCTCCAGAAAATCCTGCCCACATTACCCAGAATACCTTGCAGCAGCAGCGAGATGTCAGGGTTTTCCCACCAAGACACGCAGGGCCTCCGTTCAGGCACCAGAACCCGAGGAATCAACATCTACCGTTCAAACACACACACGCTCCACCCAGACACATACACCCACCGCCCAGACACACCAACGTCCTTCCCATGTACCTCCCCCCTCCCTGCCCTTACCCTCCTCCACCTCCTCATCCGTTTCCCCCACCCAACTTCCCTCTCTACCCCCCTCCTCCTGCTTTTTTCAACCCGTCTTTCTCCTCCCATCTCTGGCCGCCTAACTCTGTCCCCTTCTCTGACCTCCCTCCTCCTCCCCCACCTCCTCATCCTCCTCCTCAGTGATGTAGACACTCCTCCAGCCGTGTCAGTCCAGTATTGGTTAGGCTGTATAATCACTGGTTGTAAAATAAAAACTTTTCTGAATATAGCTGATGGAGGGAAGAGATGTGTCCAACCACATACTCCACGAGCACTGATGTTTTAAGATATTATTTCAAATCTATTTTCCCAACAGCTACAGACGTTTTTTTTTTTTTTAACATCTGACTCCCGTAGGAACCCTCTAAAGGAAAATAGTCCCTAATCAAAATGGTATTTTTGTCATTCCAACTTAGTGGCCATTTTCTTACTAAGTTGTCAAATGGCTCACACACACAGACTGAAACACTGCAGCAGGCTGATATTCATTGTTTAGTGAACCTGTTAACATATCTCCACTCCCTCCCACTGTATAAAAATGAAGCTTAAATATCTCAGATACGGCTGCTGCCATCTCATGCTGGTGATGTCATTCGCAGCCAGAGTCTGCGCAGTAGTGATTGGGGTTGGTGCCTTAGTATCAGAGTCCCGCCTATATGCCCAGCAGACTCAGTCGCAACCAGGGCTCAGCTTTCAATCATGACGTGAAAACCCCTTTTTATAGTTTCACGTAACTCATTAAAACCAAACCAGACACCAGGGGGCAATTGAGATGTTGAAAATACACACCATGTTCTATCAGAAGCATCAAGTACACAGAGTAGCCCTCCCCACAGTGTTCTCCTTTTAGGTAGCCCTCACT